AAAGTAACTCACAGGGAAGTGCTGTCCATTTATCTCTCCTTAAAACCCTGTGGGATGGGAGTTAAATGGACTTCATAGATGGRTTAAACTGTGTTTTCCTGTAACATCCTTTCCTTGGGAAAACTCCTGCACAGACTTGCTCCTCCTGAGTAATCAAACACACCAAATTYTTTCCAGCAAAAACCTTTGCCCAGCTCTCTGCTATCAGCAGGTTTCCTGTTTATACATTTTTACTGAGTACAGAAGCTGGTGGGCAGCATGGTCAGCTGCTGTTTGTCCTTTAGCCAGATAAARCCATAACACCTTGAGTTTCAGCAAAAGTTTGGAAAACCTGGGTTTTGACCTGTTCAGCCACTGTCCTTCATCGTGACCCATGCAGTCTCGAGCCTGTTTGTCCAGCAAGACAATTGATTTTTTTTTCACAAGAAAAGACAGGCACAGCAGCAGCTTCATGCCCTCTGCCCCAATTCCAATATTAGTGCATTTGGCTGCTATTTGTGTCCTTGGCCACCAAACCACTGCTGAGTTGTACAAACAGAAGTTTTGCAGCTGTCAAAAATGCAAATACTTAATGKGGCATTACACTGGAGCAGTACCTCATTTACCTACTTCTGCCACTATTATTAAAACAATGAAAACTGGGTTTATTGCTTATTTAARCAACAGAGATGTGAAGTCAGTTGTAACGCTCTTGTTTGCTTTTCATTTTAGCTACGGATTTCTGCTACTGCTCCTTCACGTGCTGAGAGCTGGTAAGTTCAGAACATTTCAGTCAAAAATTARATTCCCTTTAATACATTTGGCCAAATGCACAAGGGAGCTGTAAAATGACCAATATAAACACCTGCGTGTTTTCTACAAGACGCTGAAGAATTCCTCAGTGTAAAACATTTCTCTGACACTCCTCAAGGGAAGAAGAACAATCAATTTTTATCGGTTTTGTTGCAGAGAGAAGCAAGGCACCTTATGGATGCTCAGATTGCTCAGATTGCTTTGCTTGCCTCAGAGACATCCCTGTGTGCTTATCTCTGTCAACAAAAGGCCTTAGGACTGGATTTCTAAGAGCTGCTGATAAGCAGATCTAACATGCCTGTATACTCAAGACTAGAAATTATACATCACGGTATCAAGTAGACAATATTTGTAATTTTACTACTAGTTAATAGTAGTAAATTTACTCCTACTATTAGTAATTTTACTTGTGCTACAGTTCTAAAACATCCCTTGCAAAACAAAAGTAGAATTAAATCACATCACCTGGTGATATTAAATGTTTTTGGCATTTTTTTCTCCTCTGTTCTTGATTACTCACTGAGAAGGACCTCAACAAAGTCACCAAGGAAACTCCCTGGCCCCAATACCAGGACAAATTGTACCAGGTTCAGTTTCAGTAGCTGCTGGCTGCCCTGTTTCTGGCCAGCAGTGRAGGTGCCCCCCTCTTGCCAGGGYATTAYTCTTCCTGCTGTTCCAGGGGTTTTCCAGTCTGAGCCAAGGAACTCTGTTGCAGTTCAAGCCTGTTGCTTCCAGTCCCACGCAGCAGAGTTTAAATGCCTGGTAAACATCCTGCCCTTCTCCCTGCAGGTGCTGTGTGTGCCTCAGGGGKGTTTTTGGAGCAGGGTGCCCAGCTCAGAGGTGTGGGTGAGCTCTTTCTGAGTCCAGGGCACCCTCACAAAGGCAGATCCCTCTTTAATGTCATCACCTCCCTCCCACCTCACCGTGCACTGTTTCTGCATTYCCAAACCTTCACTCCTGACATCCTCCTTTCCCTGAATGATCCTCCCAYGCCATCCCTTCCCCAGCTGGAATCTCTCCCATCCAGCCCCATGCCTGACCCCCTCCTGCCCCCATGCCTGACACCACAGCCCCTACACTGCTCTGTGCCACCAGCCAGTTGCATCAGTGAGATTTTGGCTGCTGGAGTGGTGGTGATGGACCCTGCCCAGCCATGGGCAGAGCTGCCCAGCTCTGGGATCTCACTGACCTGTGCCTTTTGCATCAGCTGGCAGCCACCTCCTGCCTTTGCCTTGCTCACCCGGAGCAGAGGCTGCCTTTCTCAATGTCTGGAAGGCAGGAAAAGTGTTCTGAAAGCCAGAGATGGTCCTGATTTTACCTCAAGTGACCTTCAATATGCAAATGACTGATGAATGTGTCACTGGAGGTGCCTGGGCGTGCTGSTTTGCCAGCTGAGTGTATTTGTTGAGCGGGTGTCACCAACAGTAGCAGTGAATGAAATGTGATTGTTGTGACATGCCCGCTTCAAGAAATTTTTACTCTTTTATTATTTGGGTCTCAAAATAATAGCACCACTCTTTCTCATCAATGTTTCCACTTCTTGTGATTTAAGTGGAGTTACCTGGCATTTTTCTTAATTAAAAAAATAAAAGTTATTATTGAAGCATTGGGGTTTGAATATGTGTCTGCAGCCAGTGKGGAAAGTGAAATGTGGGTATCCATGTTTAGATTGGTTGGTCCTCAGGGAAAAGGTCCCTTTAGACAATGGACAAACAGACAGACATGGAGAGAATTAGCCACTGGCAAGCTGGGGGTTAGGAATGGCTATGGAGTCAACACACTGCTATAAAAGTAATATTGGAGTCAATGTAATAGAATGTACTCAAAAATAATTACTTTTTTCCCATGTAACCCCCCTTCTCTTTCTCTCTCTCTCTCTTTTAATCTTGTAGTTATGGCACTAGAGAAGAAGAACATCRTCAGTAGACTTGGAGAAAATGTCACGCTAAGTTGCATTTATAATGAAAGAGCCTTGCAATTAAAAAATCTACGGGTATATTGGCAAATAGCTGATGATCCCCCTCCAGGAAGGTGTTTAGTTGTCCATGCACTGATCTCTGGCCAAGACAATAACAGTAATCAGTGCATTAACTTTAAAGACAGAACTAAATTATTCTGGGATAGGCTGGAAAATGGTGATTTTTCTCTACTATTACTAAATGTCAGCCAGAGGGATAATCATACATACAAATGTGTAGTACAGGAGAAAACTGAAATTACCAGAGTGATTCACCAGGCAGAAGTGGTTCTCAGTTTAGCAGGTAAGAATTTGTGTCTCTTTGCCCAGATTCTTTTTTCAGCTTTTTAATCTTGTATTTAAGCATGCATTTTGCTTTGAAATAGACTTCTCTTTGCTGAAATGAAGCCTGCTTAATTTAAATGTTACAGACAGGGAATGTAAACCTTGGAGAATACATTTAACAAGTGTTTAATCAGTGTTTCTTTTTTTCTTGTTTTTCACGGATATAAGGTCTCTTGAATGTGGCTGGGTGACAGCAGCTTAAGTTGTTCCTTTCTTCCTCGCTTTTCTTCCTAAAGCGTTTGGCTTTATCTTTCTGCCCTCCCAGTAATTCTCTCAGCTCTCTGGCTTACCAAACATGCAGGAATTTCCTTTTCAACTCACTGGGGTGGTGTGAAATCCAGCAGTTTGGCTTCAAAACCCATGTCTAAATGGGTACATTTTGTTTTATCAATATTTCAACATCAATATATTGTTTTATCAATYTATTTCAAAATGTCAGCAGCTATTTCTCTTTTCTCTTGCTCTCCAGCGAGCTACAGCCAGCCAGTACTCAGCGGGCCAATACGAAACAGCACAGGAGAGGAGGTGACTTTCAGCTGCAGGTCTGGCAATGGGTACCCCATGCCCAAGGTTTACTGGATAAACAGAGCCAACAACAGTCACCTGAATCCATCAAAGCTGGACATCCATCACAACAGCGACGGCACTTTCAGCGTTTTTAGCACGCTGACGGTGACGGCCACTTCCAACATGCAAATCGAGTGCTTCATAGAAAATGAGATGCTGCAGGAAAATCTGTCAGCCAACTGTAAGTGCCTTCATGCTGCCTCATGTTTTCTGGACAGCAGGAGCATCAGCTGGTGCGTTCTGTGTCTGTAGATGTGCCCTAACGAGGGCTATKCATTAATTCAGCAGCTCCAAAAAGTGCTGAGGGGATCTCAGGTTTTGTTTCCAGCTGGTTATGCTTAGCCATGGGCTTGATGTTTCATTCTTCCTCACTGATGTGAATGCCCCATCAAGTGTGTTATGAGAAGGGCACTGAGAAGCTCTTGCATCCAAGGCAGCCACGGGGCTTTACCCTTTGTTCCTTCAGGATGGTTTAGGGGGTCAAGTTTTCTCTCAGGAGCCACGATATGGCAGATTCCTGACTTCTGGCCCCCACCCAACAGCCTTGCAACACTCACATTTAACTCTTACTGTGCCCAGCTCCAAAGTTCAGTTTTCAAATTGAGTCTCCAAAACTCAATTTAGTACAGTGCACTACTTAAACTAGGCCTGCAGCAAGTGGGCAATACAAGCTCAATGAAACAATGCACTTAACAGCACAAATATAATGTGCTATTTATTGCTGATGTGATGATTAATAGTGAAAGCAAGTATTGAGTCACTCAACTCTTCACAAAACCAGAAAGCTATTAAAAAAGAAAGCTGTTAAGAAGTTACAGTTTTAGTGCCATTGCTGCAGTTCATTATTAACAAAAAGCTGTGCRGAGAAGCTGTTTGGAGTGGGAAGGCTTATCTGGAGGTGGCTGTCTGATCTCTTGTTCYTGGTCCTGCCTCCAGCCACACCTTTCTCCCTCAGATTTCTGCACCCTGGTGCAAGCAGGTTGGAATGTTTCCATCACTGCAGCTGATTTACACAGTTAATTCACCTGAACCTCCCTATGACTGATCCCACAAATGTAGGCCAATGATATCAACTATTTCCAGGAACAACAATTATACACATGAGCAAAAGTTGCACAGTAGAGTGTTTATTTGATAATACACGGTGCTGTTATCTCAAATTAAAGGAAACTAAGTAACTCATCATTAGTTTCCTAATGACATTCTGTCGTATTGTCTTCTGAGGAAAAAGACCTTCATATCACTTTTCTTTGTTTGTTTTTAAAAGTCTCACAACCACACTTGTAAGAGGTGTGATCTGAAAACCTTCAGTTTGCARCTATCAGTGAAGATTCTTTGCTAACTTCAGGGAAACTGGTTTTCACCCATTTTTCTAAATACCATCAGATTTACATCACAAACTCTGCATAGATTTATTTTTCAACTGAGTCTAAATACAAATCCAAACATGCAGTCTCTCATAGCTGGAAGGAAGGAAGGAAAAGGAAGAAAGAAGGCTTGATGCAGTATGATGACAGGGAAGAGAAAAATGGAATTCTATTATTAGACTTTTTTAATTGGAAATGTGCCTGGCTGAAAAGGAATCACCAGAATCAAAGTGATATGTTTAGCACAAATATTTAATCTTTCTGAAATGTTGTGATGCACRTAAAACATGGTGAAATATTTGCCTGGTATGAAATGTGAAAATTTGTACCTTATTGCATCCCTTTTCTATTTTATTCTAGACACGCAGCAAAAGCAAAGCAATGGTTCTGGCACAGAAAGTGATGAAAAAAAAGGACGAGGTGCTCAAGCAGTTGGCATCATTTCCCTTGTYATTCTGATAGGTCTTCTAACTGTTTTAATCTGCTGGCTGTGGAGAAGRAGGTCCTCTAAGCTACTGTCCTATACAGGTAAGGAGACGCTTCATTTGCATGAGCAAATCTTAGAAATTCTTTTTCACTTGCCAAAATACTTTATGTTATCCAGCAGGAAGGTAGAAAGTATGATAAGCTGCCTGCACATGACAGCAGGAAATCATGATATTATTGAAAATGTGGGGTGTCCAGAGGAGGACACATTTATGGTTTTTTCCTCCTGTGTCTGAACCCCACAGGAGTTAATTTCTGCTTTGTGCCTTTTCAGGCCATAGTTTGTGAGCTGTAGACTCTTTGTGGATGGATGGCATGGAGCAGGACTGGGGGCAGTAGCTCACTCTGGTTAGAACAGTCTGAAGCAGAAATCAGAGCACAATTCAGTCCCGAGAGCTTCAGAGTCACTGGCTGGACAGTGAAGGGTCAACATCCTGCTGGAATCGAGCAGAAATGTATCTTGTCTCACTGTCACATGTGTACCCTCATGTAGCTGGATTTGCCCACGTGTGTAACTCTAAAAAAGCTCAAAAAGACACTTTGTGAACAGACAGAATCTGCCAGTGTAGCTGAGCATTTGCTGTGAACCCCTCTGCAGTGTCCAGGAGCTGACATCTGAGGGGACAGGGACAGCCACAWTTYYCATGGACAAGGACAATCCAKGTTTTCAATCCATGCCCTGTTCCTYAGTGCTGGCAAGCCTGGGTGCCTCAGAGAGGAGCGGGGGAAAGCAGGGCAGGGATCATGTCCAGGATCTGCAGCAGCTCTTGTAGAAGTCATGTCCTTCCTGCAGAAACAACTCAAGAGTGGGGCAGGACTTTGTCCCAAGACAGGGAGCAGGGTTATCACTTCAACCCCAAAATCTTTCCTTCCTAAAATGATAGCCTGGATTGTAATCCAAATAAATCCAAATAAAATATGGGCTAAATTTTGCTGTTCTAAGAATATTTACCACATTGAACCTTCAGCTTTGGTGGACGTTGGTTAATGTTAATCTCATTTATCTGAAGATTGTGGTTATCTATCCTAAATACTTGAACCCATGTATTTGTTTCAACAGATGTCTTACCAAGAGAAGACCAAGGAGAACTCAACTGTAAGTATTAAAAATAYTTTATTTGTCTCAAGTGACTTAACTTGATAGCTTCAGTACTCAAGTTCAGCACAAGCCTTTGGATTAGATTTGCTGGATGCTACAAACTCAAGCATTTTTTAGGTACTGCATCCTAGGAGGTCTTTGACTGGGATACAGGCACGTAATTTGCTTCATGTCTGTGAACCTGAGCCTATATAGACCCATTTTTTTTCTAAAAAACCCTCTCCTTTCTTAGAAAAAAAATACTCTCTTCAGACCTTCACCATGTTCATATTTTGATAACAAGAATGTAATATTGCAGTGCAGCTAGTTTACATATTCATTCATTATTTATAGTTGGGGGAAAAGTAAAAATTGGGTGAAAAAAAATGAAGACAGATTTGGAAAAACAAACTAGCACAGGGGACTCAGAAGAGTAGMGTGAAATATCTGCATATTTTATGTCTCATTTGGTAATTTCTACTGAAGCAAATAACTCAGCAGAACAGGCAGAAAATCCTGTGGTTTGACCAGAACTGTAATAATGAAAGCATCGTTTGCAGGAGCAGATGCTGTGAATGTATGCAATTCATAGTATTGAGCAGAAGCAAATAACCCTTAAATAAAAAACCTTTTCTGRAACTTATTTGGCAGTCATGGAAACTGGGTTAATGGTCAGTTATTTTCCAGCCTGCAGCCTGATTCCCAACATTTGTGTTTGCTAAACATCAACAGGCATTGCACAGTCGCAGGGAGAAGGATGGATTTTCTCCTTAAAATAAAGAGATATTTTCTCCTTTTGTCCCTGTGAAATGCATTAATGTAACACAAGCAGTTCATTTAAAGTCAACTTGACTTACACCAGGCCTTTCTTGAGTAGATCCCTGGACTTAGCCCATCAGTAAAACAAAACCTCTGTGACATAAATAAGAGTAAATATTTATGTTGTATTGAAGGCTGCTGTCGCATGGTTTGTTCACTAAAAACAAAGCATAAATGCCTTCCACATGCTGTCTKTTCCTTGACACGTCTCCCCACCACTCGAGGAAGAGGAGGTGGGACAGCAGCTTTGGTGGCTCACTGGTGGCAGCAGCTGTCCCATCTGAGGGCCATCTTTAGGGCATCTGGAGCAATATCAGAGAAATGAGGATGATCCAGGGAAGGGGATCTCTGGTGAGAGGTTGGTTATGTTTGTTTACGCTGGACAAGGCCAGGCTGATTAAGGACACAATAACAATCCTCTTCAGAGTGCCTTTAGAGAGGATGAGACAAGTTATTTATTGTGCTCACCCAGCTGACACTGCACTTAAGGCACAACARACTTAAACAAAGGAGATTTAAGCTAGATGTCAGAAAAAAATGGCTAAGGGTAATGGTGGTTGAGCAGTGAAGCCAAAGGTTTGTTCAGGCTGTCCAGTCTCTGTCAGTCCAGTCTCGTTGCTTCATTCTTTCTTAACAAAAAGAAAGAAAACCAGTATCTGTTAGAAATTATTTGGAAATACATCTTGATACAAAAGATGGGCTCTTGGAGAAATCCTAGCCTAATTCAGTCCTGATTTGGTATTTTCAAGCCAGTTGTATGTGGCAGATGGGGGATAAGGCACTGGGGAGGTGCATGGGCATGCTCTGCCACAGCATTTTCCTTTTCTGTACTGTTGTAAAAATGCCTCTGCCAGTTGCACCTTGTGAAGGAGTTCAGAGGTTGTTTCAAGGGCAATGAAAATCCTRAATATTGTAAACCAGAGGGAGATTACTGAAACCAACTTTACTGTTACAAAGGAAAAAAAAATGGTTTGGGAACTGTGAGGAAGGCAGTTTGTAAAGGAGAGTAGCTCTGTCCAGGTGGGATTAGTCTCTCCTGACACCATTCCAGGCAGTGGGGCAAGGTGCTCTGGTGACATCTTTTGCATAGCTTTGCAGCTTGTTCCACTGGTTCTGTAAGAAAAACAATGCTAGGAATTATTATTTTTGGGCAAGACCTTTGTCTGTATTCTTATAAAAAGGAGTTATTTTGTTTTTGCAGCACCTGCTTAAATGGAAAATCTGCCAACAATTTCAGYAGCTGGAGATGTGTTGAGAGAAGCATCACTCCGTGTCCCAGTGGCAGCATTGTTTGYAATACAAGTGACAGATTTCTGCCAAGAGAGACATAAAAAAAATGTAACAAATAGAAAAAAGCTTTTAGAACACAARAGATGGAAAAAACTGCTGGATTTTCATTCCAGCCACTGACGGTGTCCACAGAACAGTTGTGTCACCACTCCAGCACTTTGGACAGTCCTCTGTGATTGTTGRTGATTTGGGCACCTGTCCTGGAGAAAGCAGAAATCCTGGGGCTCAGCTGCTCTGTGCCAGAGCTCTGAGAGCTGTGACTGTCCAGTCGCTCATCCTCATCCTCGAGGGTTTTGTCAGGAGCAGAAGCAGCCACGTTTCAGGAGCACGAGAAGTTCCTGCTGYCACCTCACCCTGATGTCAACTACTGCATGTGAGGAAAGACAGCTGAAACAAAGAAAGAAAACTGAAGGACTCTGCAAAGTGAGATTTGTGACCTTTTCCATGTTTTCCTCTCTCCAGAGTACAATCCTTTCATTGTGTGCTTTCCCCAGCTTCATTTTACTGTGTACAGAATCGGGCTGAACACTTTGCCCCATTCCTCCAAAAACAGGAGTTGCTCTGATGGGGTTAAGTACTGAATGTGTTAACCTAGGGGAAGGTTTCTTTAAATGCCTTGATAGCAATATTTTGGTTTTTACCAAATATTCTGCCAAAAGGGGGATTTCCACTTTCAACAGGAGTCAGCTATGAGATAAAAAGCAGGCTGTGGAAACCAATTAAAATTAGTGCTCTCTGCTGTGTTAATGTCAGGTTACCTGGACTTACCCTTTCCAGGATGAAACAAAAACTGTGGTTGATCTCTGCTTGTCTCAACTGAATCTTTATTTAAGCACTTTCYYGTGGCTTCYRGGGAGGMTTTTAAACTGAAGTTTTTAAYCCAACAAAACAAAACAAAACAAAACAAAAAACGTGCAGACTCTATCAGTGAGCTATCCATGAACGTCCAGAAAGCCAAAAACTGCAGTTTCTTGTGCCAGTGTGTGTGTCTTTTTTGTTTCAGCCCCAAGTCAGCCAAATTGACTGGYTGAAAAAAGCAAAGCAGCAAACTTTGCTGATGGTGTGAGATTTGGAAGGAGGAGGGATTTTTACTGACTCTCTTGTCCAGCTGGGACAGTTCCCCCATTTGGTCACAGGGAGATGGAGAATATTATTCTAAACTGAGCTCTGGAAACACTTGACCTCTCATGCACCAGTTGCTAGACTGAAATTTTACAATTTTTGTGAATAAGTCACAGCCTTGTTTGTCCTTACTCTGTGTGTGAGAGCCACTCCAATATCAACCATGAGCTCAGACACTGGTTTTTCTTATCAAGATCAGCTTGCAAGTTCCAGCCAAGTGAAAATTTTGTTGTTGTCCTCACATCACATGGAACCCAGAATGATTTGGCAATAGTATAGCAGTTGTCTCTTATCAAAGCAATACCCCCAGGGAGGCTCCAGGTTGAGTAGCTGTGCTTCTCTCATGTCCATGAATCCAGATATTAGATAATTTCTGAGTCCAGATCTCATCCTCAGTGAACCCTAAAGGGAGCTTGCTTGAGGAAAGCTTGCAGACACCTCAAAAATGTGAACAACATTCTGTGTAGATATTCAGGGTAACCAGTTCCTAGCRGTTCACTGAGAAGTCCTGCAGATATTTCCTCATTTTCTGTCACATGAAGCTGTTTTGTGCAGCTTCTGGTGCTGCTGTACCTGACAGAAGCCYGTTCTATCATCAGTTTTCTGTTTTTTATATTCTGCAGCTGTAATGGTTCAGAGATTTAAGAAACAACCTAGCAGTCACTCTGCAATATGTTGTTAAATTAATCTAGACTTGTTGGATTTTCTTATTTCTGGGCAACTTCATGGCTACATCTAAATGCAAAGCCTTTTCCTGCAAAATCTGTGTTTTCAGTTGGTTCAGGGGTCCAGCTGTTCTTAGAGATAAGTAAATCCTAGATGACAGCTGGTTGTTACCATTCAAAGGACTTGTGAATTTTGTAATAACAGAGTTTTTGTCTTCAYGTGACATGTTTRTATTTTAAATAAAATCTGTTAATTSTTCTGGATGTTTGACTACACCTATCAGCACACAGAGACAAGTCAATCCAAGCCAYTGCTCCCACTCAAAGTGGCAATTTCACTTTTAACCACATCCCTCAGGGCATACAATGCTCCTTTCCAAACCCTTCAGAGCTGACCACCTTTCCAAACAGTGCAGAGCTGACCACCTTTGCTTTATTTTGGTGGCTCACTTACACAACACAATCCCTTGAACAACACCACAAACTCCATGAAACCCACACAGTAGCCTGAAGGCAACACTGAGCCTGAGCTGATTCATCCACTTCTCACCCAACTTTGTAACCCCAAGCAGAGAAAAGGTACAGCACATTCTCCTGCTCCCARAACTGAAACCAGCTCGTTGCATTCCCCCAGAACAGTCTGACACTTGAGCACCAGCATCACTCTGTCTTTGTTAAAGACATGAACCACCCATGAACCACATGTCCCAAGCAAATTAAGCACATACCCGGGAGAGCAACACTTGATGCAGCTCTTTGCAAGAAAACTTAAGAAATGGACTCACTTTCACAGAAAAGCGAAAGACTTCTGTTGTGGCACGGCTGGTAAACCACAAATGGAAAGCCCCAAGAGAAAACACGGGTTGCTACTTGGTGATCTGAATCGATTCATCCTGTCAAATTCACCATTTAAATCTTTTTACCTGTGAGAGCTGAAATACCTCTTTTGCTCAAAAAAGCATTCCCTTTTTCCATTTAACAACCCTGACTTCAATGACTTTTCTCAGTAGCCACTGTGCTGTGTCAAAGRAAACTTACTGACTGCTTTCCCAACTTGCAAGGTGAATCTTTCTCCTATTTGTAGCAAATATGCTACAAAGTTTGACAGAAGTTCATGTTACCCACTAAATGTAATTACTCTAATCCCTCTATTTTCCAGAGGAAGAGAATCTGCTCTAAAGAATAATTGAGCACAGCCTAACTCCACAGGGAGAGAACGCCCCCATCCCCATAAGTGTCCTTGGCAGCTACTCCTGTGATGTTACCATTAATCACAAACTCTTTGTTTGCATATTATTAGGAAAGAGCTGTCTCCCATTTCAGTTGGGCACAGAAAACTGATGTGTAGAGAAAAAATGCTCATCTGTCAAGGGTGCTTAGGCTGATCTTTGAACCTGCCCAAAATAGGTCCCAACAATTTACTAATAAATCACTTATTTGTGATTCCAAGAAGTGTTGCTTAGGACAATTTTATAATTGAAAAGCTCAGGCACAGAGTCACGCTTGGCTGGCTGCAGCTGATTTGGTGCTTGCACTCATATCTCCAGCCTGCAGAGACCTTCTTCCACTTGCTAGACTGGAAAGTCTGCTTCTTGGAAGCATTCACCCCAGGGGACATCATAAGTCAATAGAAACTGTTTGCTAATTTTGAATGGGATTACACTGCGCAAAAAAAAAAAAAAAAAAAAAAAAAAA